CGCGCGGGCGGCGCGGCGCCCCCCGCGGGATAATAGTCCAGAAGCCTAGAGCTGACATTTGAAAGAGAGAGGAAAAAAAAAAAAAAAACGTCCAGGGAGACAAATTAGGTTTATAAATAGGCTCCGAGGAGACCAAGGCAAAATTTTAACATGCTGCTGCCCTGGTTGTTAAATGGAAATACAAAGCAATTTCAAAAACCAGCTCCAGCCTATAAATCTTGGAACTGGCAACAAGTATCTGAATTTGACTGATGGGACAGTGGATAAATGGATTCCTGGTAATATAAAAAGTTTGCTCGTGCGTTCTGCTCTGTAGCCATGCACTGGTGTGTGCAGGGATCTAGGTACAGTTCATTCATTATCAATATGGATTTAGAGTCTACCCCTTCAGTTTTATTCTGATGTACAGTTTTTATCACGTAACTATCATATTGTGGAGAATGTCTGAGTGGCAATGTCGTTAGAAGGATTGGTTGACAACTGTCAATAGTAAATATTACTCTATGTAATATTCTTACATAGAAGGAGTTTGAGGTTTTCAGGGTGAAAACATGTATGATATCTGTTTTAGTACCAAGCAATGAAAGAAAAAAATAAGAATATGCCAAGTGAATAATTCCTCAGCCTCCACAGGACTCATATTTCTATGATTGGGTCTCATAATACAATACCTCTTCTTTAGTCAAGTATAATCACTAAGTCCCTTCAGGTGATTTAAATTGGTATTATCTGAATATGTAAGTACTGGACAGTTGGAGAAGGCAGATAAGGGCGAATTATGGAACACTGCAATACCAGGAATTGTCAGCAGATGTCACAAAAGAGGATATAGGTAAAAGAATTCTACCAACAACTGCAAACACTTAATCTAATTTAACAAGCAGATTTTAATCAAATTTATAAAATGAATTCTGAAATACTAAATTTTTATGAAATTTAAAAGTTCAAATAAGAATTTGGAAGGAAACTTGCATTTCCCCCAAATGTCACTCTCAAATCACCAATTTACAAATTCTAGATGACCTGTTATTGATATTAAAAAGAAAAAATATCCTATGCCACGAATATCAGTGATTTTTTATTCCATAAAATATATCATTTAAATATCTTCTTGTTTGTAATACAGCAACTACTAGATTAAACTTTAAAACAGATAGGTAGGACAAAGTAAATTTGGCAATGAAATTCAATATAAAATGTTTAAGGTTTCCATCTAAAACACTAACTCTGTTTCACCTTGATCATATCTATTAAAAATTTTTAAAGTAATTATTCATGTTTGGGAGTTGGACATTATTCATAAACACAGCATATAGACAAAATACATAAAGAATCAAGAATGATCAACAATCCCACTTACGTTACAGCATCAAAGGTTTTAAAAATCTAGTGTATGCATCATCTTTGTCTTTATTTAGTTAAATGCAATTTATTAGTATGCACCAAATCCTAGTCTCAATTAGCTCAGATGCCAATAAAAGTTAGTGTTAAAAGTTTGGGCATTGGAGTCCAGAAGAACTGGGTTCAAATTTCAGTTCTTCCTTATAGCTGTTAGCCTCCACAGCTGTCTCCCTTATCCCTTTCTCTTCCTTGTTTTCCTTTCACTTGCAAGCAGGTGAAACCTAATAGGATTATTGTGAGGAATGGAATGAATTAATATTTATTATGTGCTTGGCATATTTCCTGACACATAATAAGCGATTTAGAAGTACTACATGGGTCTTATAAACAAAGTAGATGTTTGTTTCTCACCATGTAAGCTCTGTCTTTGCTAGCCACAGGTAAAACAAGTAGAATCATTTAATCAGTTATTTTGACAGTGAGATGTTTGTTTTTAAATTTATTTTTACAAATAGTTTTTGTAAACTAAAGTCGAGTAACTTTGGACCCCTTTTTAAAGTTTATTATACACACAAATACATTTTTGCAAGTATCTCTGTGATCCTAGACTCACTAAAACAGAGACTCATTTTCTTGATTAATTGTCTGAGATCACTTTGACTCAAACAGAATATTTGGAAAGAAAATCTGATAGCAGCTTACTGCTTCCCATCAAGACTTGCTATGAATCCAACAGTACCACCAAGCACTAACATGAAAATGCTTAACGATGCAAGAAAAGACCCCAGGAAATGGGGATAGTTCCTAAATCAGCAATTCCATGACACATTCCATCACAGTAGAATCGCAACTCAGATCATTTATTTTTTTAATGTTTATTAAATTTTTTGAAAGAGAGACAGTGAGATCCAGGGAGAGGCAGAGAGAGACAAAGGGAGACAGAATCTGAAGCAGGTTCCAGGCTCTGAGCTGTCAGCACAGAGCCTTATGCGGGGTTCGAACTCACAAACTGTGAGATCATCACCTGAACCAAAGTTGGACACATAACTGACTGAGCCACCCAGGCGTCCCAACAACTCAGATCATTTTTAAATGGGTATCGAGATACTGAATTTTATCAAACAGTTATTATGTATTCAATAAATATTTGTGGTAGAAAATGAATACCCAGAATGTGAACCCTGTTCTTTTAAATCCTCAGGAGTTTCCCCCCTAAAACCTCAAACTGACCCCCGAATAGGAACACAGAGGGAAAAGAGAGACTGGAGAAAGAGGCAGGCCACTCCAATGGCCTCCTCCAACAACCACAGGGCATCAGTTACATGAACATTTTGCTGGATCTCTTAAAGAAATGTGTCAGATAAAAAAAATAAAGGAGTTATAAAACTAAACAGCTCACTGTGTGCCCATTGTTCATCATACAGCATCCTGAAAATCTAGAATAGCTTGGATATTTATACTAAAGTTGAAGAAAAGTTTCTTTGAAATCTGATTTGTTCCAATTTGTGCCCTCTCTCACTCTGAGAAAGCTCAGTACCAGCAATGGTCCCTAGTCCTAACCTGAAAGGTGGTGTATTACAGGGAACTGACAAATGGTATGTTTGAATTGCAGGACAGCAGGGTACCTGTGAACTCTTCCCTTGACACTGCAAGAAAAGACTTCTTTCTCACAAGATGTCAGTATTTAGGGCACCTGGGTGGCTCAGTCAGGTAAGCACCCGACTTCCCCTCAGGTCATGATCTCAGCCTCATGGGTTTGAGCCCCACATCAAGCTCTGTGCTGACAGTTCAGAGCCTGGAGCCTGCTTCAGATTCTGAGTCTCCCTCTCTCTCTGCCCTTCCCCGGCTCATGCTCTGTCTCTTTCTCTCTCTCAAAAAATAAACACTAAAAAAAAAATTTTAAAGAAGATGTTAACATTGGAACACTTCAACTTTTTTTTCTTTGTAAATATTTGTTCATTTTGGAAAAAGAGAGAGCACTTGGGGGGGAGATTCAAAGAGATAGGGGAACAGAGGATCTGAAGCGGTCTCCCCACTGATAGCAGAGAGCTCCATGCAGGGCTCAAACCCACAAACCACAAGGTCATGACCAGAGCCAAAGTCAAAGGTTCAACCAACTGAGCCACCCAGGCATCCCAGAATATTACAACTGGTAATCTGGGACTTTTAAACTTTCAAACTTTTAAACTAATTCATGTTTGGATTGAAGGAGAGGAAATTCACCTAAATCCACATTATTGGAAATTCTAAATTCCCAGAATTGGCCTGGGATAATGAGTCAATAGCTACCATAAACAAGAGATGAATGCATGACTCTAATTTGGATGTGTTTTATTTTTTGGGAATCAATAGTGAGTATAAAAGGATCCAAACAGCATCACTATGAGCAAATTCCTCTGAGAATTCTTATGTGAAAGCTTCGATGTCTATTTTTCCTTTAAATGCAAACTACTTACAGCATGTCACTATGCTTTTGTTTGTTCCCTGCATCATATGCCATAATAGAAGAGCAGAAACTTAATGTAGTATTTGATCCCTCCTTGGCTTATTGGAAAATTTGTTTGTCTGTAATCCAAGTATTCTGAATTAGTTCATTACCCTAAAAGATTACATTCTATTATTCCATCTCTTTAAATTTTTATTCATTACATCTTGAAATTAGCTTGGATTTTTTATTTAAAGTGTTTCAACCAGTTATTAAGGTCTGGGCATTATTATGTTTCTCAAATTATTTAGCTTTCTTATTTACACCCAGAAATTGCAAGCTTAGGTAATTCTAGCATAAATGCTGAGCTATTTGGATCAATTTCTCCAACAGGTCTGCCTGGACCTTTATAATTACTCCCTCTCATCAATATAAAGAGTACTTATTTATTCCGTATCACTGAACATTTATGCTTTATTATTTTACATACATGACATACATCTTCAAAGGACATCTTTTTGTCTTTTGGTTCACTAGGGAGAGTCTAACATAGGTCTATTCAAGTCCCAGGTACTAGAAATTTTTTGTTGTTGTTATTAATGAAAATATGCTGTCTG